TCTAGAGCTCAAAAAAAATACAAATAAATCATCTTAAAATTTTTTTGAGCAAAGAACCAAGTAGGAAATACATTTTCAATTTTGGACTAGGGGCGACCCTAGTCAAAATCAATTTTGTCACTTTTTTCTTCGAGGGTTTATCCAATTACAGTAAAACTTTGTGTGAGTATACTAATATTTATACAAAACAGTTTTAAATATCTAAAGCAAGAAATGTATTCTATATGTCGTCGGACCCAAATTTTATAAATTTGGTTGTACATTCAAAAACAACGTGACTTAAAATTTTGTCCAAAAAAATGATTTTTTTTAATTCAGAAATGTGTGACCTGAAGATTAGAATAATCATACAAAGTTTTACTGTATTTTGATTTATCCTTGAAGAAAAAAGTGGACCTGTCCCTAGTCCAAAATTGAAATTGTATTTCTTACTTGGTTCTTTGCTCAAAAAATTTTTAGAATGTTTTATTTGTATTTGTTTTAAGCACTAGAATATTTATGCAAAGTTTCAATCCATTTGGATAAACCCTCGAAGAAAAAAGTGACAAAATTGATTTTGACTAGGGTCGCCCCTAGTCAAAAATTGAAAATGTATTTCTTACTTGGTTCTTTGCTCAAAAAATTTTTAGGATGTTTTATTTGAATTGACATAATTCTGACATAAATCACACACCAATATTACTTTTTGTAATGCATAGCCTAAAAAAAACGAAATCTAAAATTTTGACTACCCCATCTGAATTTTGTTCATACTCTTCACTGTGGAAACCAAAAAACAAATTCTTTTTCTTAAAACACTTGACAAAATAGCGACATAATTCAGGATTAATTACTTTTTAATAATATTTTAACATTTACGAGAAAATGTGGTTCAAATAAGTGTGAAGTATGGCCGAGATTTGGACCAAAATCAGCTATACTGGTTCATAGTGTTCCCGAGGGTGACAAAATTCAAACTAAGTGTTTTTGTAGCTGACATAATTATGACATAAATTAGGTATATCTTTTGAACTGTGTCGATATGGGTCTCGGCCGTACTTCACGCCCACCCTTCAAACTTATGCTGAGCAAATCTTGGTCTATCCATAAGACTTTTGATGGTACGGTGTGAATATATCCGCATTGGGTTACTACCCGATACACTAGTTGTTTAAATACTTTGAGCTTTATGAGCTGGAAGGATAATTTAATTATAAGTTTTAAGGTGGAAATTAATTTAATGACTCTAATAAGGCATTACATTCAATACTTTTGTAAAGTTGAAATGTTCCTTTAGTTTTTAACAGGGTTTTTAATAATTATACAAACGATGGGCTAAATAAAGACTAAATCATAATTGGATGCCTTATTATGATCATCCTGTAAGATTAATTTTAAATTCCATAAGGAAAATCCAGCAAATTTTGTTAAAAAGGAAATCCCATAAAAATAATTTTTATCGTCACCATTCAAAAGCTGCGAATAATTTCACAAAATCAAAATCCTTTTTAACTCGTCATTCGTGACTTATTCATGAGATGATGGCGCTTTCATGGTAGGATATAACGCGCGAATGAGAAAAAATGGATTCAATCTAAATTTCCCAAATGGGTTTTTCATTCTTTCCGTTTCATTCAGTCGCTGAGTTGTTCATTTTGTGTCTTTGTAGCATAATTTTCTATCTGGCTTTCTCAATTTCTTTTTTGACACTTGTTTCAATTTTATGGTAATGATTTGTCGGTCAGATGAGAATTCATTTTAAGCAGGGGGAAAATAACTTGGTGTGAAACGTGTACGCCATTTCACACCAGAGTTGTGAAATTTCACACCACTGGCGTGAAATGGAGTGAAATTTCACACCACTGGCGTGAAACTGGCGTGAAATGGCGTGAAATTTCACACCACTGACGTGAAATAGCATACATTTTTCACGCCAATATAAAAAAAAATTAAAATACATTTAGTGATTTTTTTAGGACCAGAAAGCCTTTCATTTAATATTCCATTAACCATTAAGGTTTGAAAATAAACTTTTTTAATTTAAATAAGTAAACCTAAGATAGTTTTATAGACAGTTTAATGGTCTTCTTGTCTTTTTATATGACTAGTTATAATTTTCATGTGCCACCAACTCCTTATCCTTCAAAATTCGAATTTTCAACATACTGTTGGTTTTTCAAATCTTCGTAATAATTTTCTTTTAAAATCCTACAAAACTTGTCTTAATTAGTTAAAATTAAAATAGTTTAATTAATGATTTTTTGAAAAACATTTTTCATAACGGTCAAATTTAAAAATTTTCCTCAGGTTTGTTTGCATTGACAAGTTATTCTGTGAATTAAAAGATCACCTACAACTCATTAGCTACACACAATTGTGAGCTTTAAATTTTCTCACAGATGTAGAAAAAATGTTTGTATGCATTGCAATGCTCAAAAGCAAGTATTGTTTTTGTTTAATCGTGTTTTTAAACATAAACAAACAAATTTTTTTAAAAAAAAATCATTAATTTTGATAAAATAAGCTGATTTTTTACAATTCTAACACTCAGATGTGAACTACAAAAGATTGGGAAAGAGTTTAAGACTAATGAGTTTAGTGTTTATGAAGATTTGTGAAATATCTTAACGAAAAGTTTGTATTTAAAATTTTACCGCAAAAATTTGCAAATTTTTTTGAAAATTCAAACGATTTTTTCTTCTGAGGACACCATCTCAAAATGTTGGTAAATCATAAGGATATATCAAAAAATGATCATTATTTAACGATTAGCGACGTCGATTCAAATGATTCCACTCGTGATAAAATGAACACACAGTCTACAAGAAAAATTTGTTCGTCAAATATTATAGATTTGTTAAGAAGCAAAATGTCAGGAAGTGAAGGAACATGCGCTTATCTTCAATTGATATTGTCCATATATAAGGCATACATTGAAAAGGAGACAGATCCATTAAACCGACTTTATCATGCTTACTATGCAGTTAGCTTTATTAGACGGTGGAGAACTGATTTGGATAACAAGTCATGTGGCGATTTTATAACATCAAATGTTTGGACTTGCGTGGAACTAAATTTTGTATTTCTCCTGAGTTTAATATTAAAAGAACTAGGGCATATAATAATTATTTGGAACTCACAGCCGTGTGAGGAACTTTTTCGAACATTGCGCTCTTTATCAAGTTTTGGCTTGACAGAAATTAATTTTAGCTCTCTAGAAGTTCTCGAGAAAATCAATAGAATTCAAATTCTTCATGATATTGCGTTTGATTTGCGAGAAAACTTTGTTTTGCCTGAGAACGAAAAGATCAAATCTGATAGTTTGATTTCGAATGATGTTCCTGTATACTATCCATCAATTGAAGAATGCAAGACTGTTTTAGATAAAGCTTCCAAAGATGCTGAACAAATGTGCAAAACATTGAAAATGAAAAAAATTGAGGAGTGTAATCCAGAAATATATTTAAACCCTTTCGTATCCAGACCTAATAATCAACAAACTTTTCATGAAGTATCAACTGCAGAAATAATCACAATAAAAAATATGATATTCTTATGGTTATTAGTAGATGAAAAGTTTAGAGTATCTAAGGATAGGTCTATGTGGTTTCGAAGTGGAAGGAAGGAAATTACTATTGAACGAGTGATAACTGAAGATAATTTTTATAAAATTAAGGCTCTAGTTCATGGAGATGTAATTTGTATGAAAAGTGATTTGGATACTAATGTTTGCATCATTGGCAAAGTAATGAATTTTAAATATGAACATGAAACTGCAAAAAAAGATAAGAAATTTCCTTTTTCGTATGTCATGTTAAATATAAATAAGAAAGTTTCATTAAGATTGTCACCTTGTGTTTACGTAACCAAAAGAGCTAAGCTCATGCCATGTAATCTAAAGTATATACCAATTTCAAGTTACATTCTTAGTGTTAAAGAAAACAATTACTCAAAGGTTCCTTAGTTTACTTAAATAAAAAATTAGAACATTATAATAATTTTAAATAAATTTAAAAGTATGTTAATTTCTATAAAATATTAAAAAAAAGACTGTTAATTATTTTTTTTTTCGATTAAAATTTTCACGACATTGGCGTGAAATTTCACACCACTGGCGTGAAATTGGCGTGAAATGACGTGAAATTTCACACCACTGGCGTGAAATGGTGTGAAATTTCACGTCATTTTTGTGAAATTTTTGGCGTACACGTTTCACACCAAGTTATTTTCCCCCTGATTTTAAGCCATTCACGAAATGAAGAAGAAAATCTGTCTGATTTACACAATAGAAGCAAAGATTCGAAGATAAAGATTTCTAAGGATTTGTTTGGCCTAACCTAACCTTAAAGTTCATTTCTTTCTACAATCTTAACCCACATATTTCCTTACAAAAATACTACAAACTCGGTCACGTGAAAACTTCTTACTGATGTTGTAGCCATTCATAACCAATGAAACACTGGTGACATAGAAATAAAGGAAATGCATTTAGAATTTTAAATCAATGCCGCACAACATGCAATCTCGATCGATTTTCCTTCTACACAACTATCGAGTTCTCAATGCAAGTGAATAGATTCTCAGCTAATGCACATTTCATGTTAATGTCACGACTTGACTGAAAAAATATAAATAAATAAATTAGTCGACTGTAATGACAAGACATGGTTTATTTAAAAATCTACAGTGACTCATTCCTTAAGCACTTTTTTTGTGAATATTAGATATATTGTCAATAAAAACTGTTGACTTGAAGCATAAGAACTGTAACTGAGGCATCAATACTACATAAAAATCTGACAAAGTTCAAACAAGGATGTCTTTATAGTTTTTTTTTTATTTCTACAATAGAAACTTTATTTTCCTATTTATAAACAAAACAGAGAAAAAATCATGTCATATAATTTAATTGTTGTAACTTGTTATTAGGTTCGGGACACTTGCATGCATAAATAAAAATGTTTAAAGCTTTTTAATGCAAATTGTCGGAAATCTAATAACGGTAATTTAATAATGGAGAATCAGTCAGCCTCCATTATGTCATCATCAACCTCTCGATTATTCTCCATATCCTTTGCGTCAATTGCCCTTTTGTCGTAGCATCTAGTGGAAAAAATCTTGTGTCCAATGCAATTAACAAGATTCTCAAAGCATCGATTACGGCAACAATGTCGACATAAGTTAAACTCACACTTGAGACCTTTCGTATTAGCACACTTATCTTCCTCACAAATTTCACCTAGACGTTCGTTTCTGACTTTTGCACGCCTTTCCAATCTTTTCAATTTTTTAAGGCCCTTTCTAGATATGGAATTTCCATCTTTGTCAAAATATTGCTTCTTCTCACGTGACTCTGCCAATTTTACTTTCTCCTCCATCATTTGTTTGTGTTCTTCTGGAGGTAGACGATAGTACGGTTGACAGATCCATGGTGGGATTTTTAGATTACAATCAAGCACGTTATCTTCATTATTATCATTTTTTTCTTCTGGAGTCCACGGTTTAATTCCTTCGTGATATGGCTTGAACTTTACTGCAAGTTGATTTACAACAGCACGAAATTCGTCGTTTGAATGCGCAAGAGCCATGTCATCACGCTCTTTAGAATTCGACTTTAGCAACAATCTGTAATGCAAGAAAATAGAAACAAGTTGGGGATAAATTGAACCATAAACAATATGTCTAAAAGCTTACAAATGGTGCAAGATTTTAAACAAATGTCCTCGAACGTATCCAACAGGAGCAGGATATTCATTTAAAATGTCTAAATATTCCAAACTAACGTCCCAAATAGTCGGACTAGCTCCAGCAAAAATAAATGGATTTTGAAGATTTCCTTCAGCTGACATAACACCATCCACACCAGTTTGCTCAATACATCGATGTACATCTTGTATACAACAAATATTTCCATTCGCAAATACTGGAACTTTAACACTCTCACGAACTGTCTTAATAATTGACCAATCGGCAATGCCAGTTAGTGGGCCTTTTTGTTCACGCGTTCTGCCATGAACCGTAAGAAGTTGAGCACCGGCACGTTCTAACATTTGAGCATATCTTATCGTTTTATCTACATCATCAAAAACTCGGATTTTACACGTGACTGGAACGCTTAGGTGTTGATGAAGCGTACTTACTAAAGATAGGAAAAAGGGAGGAATATGCTTGTTACATATCAATAAGGAAATGCGTGCAAATGAATATTCCTACCAATTTCTTCTAATAAATCCCATTCATCTTGAAGAAATGCACCATAATGGCCTCGTTTAGCTATTTACGAAAAGGGAAGAAAAGGAGAGCAAAATAAAATAAAATGAATAACGATGCCGACAACGACGATGTGATATGAAAAATTCATGCTTGATTTGGCATTGAAAGGAAGATATTTTTTTGGCGTAATCTTTTGGCATAAATGTGTGCCATTATACTAACATTGTCTAGTCTTTAAAAGTATGAACTTAATGTATGATAGTGTATTATAATTCAGAAAAGGAGGGATTCTTTTATATTCATCTAGTCCTCATGTGTCTTCCAAGAAACAGGATAATGTTAAGCATAGCTCTTTCGTTCAACTCTTGTACGGATTAGGCCTTAGCAAAATTTGTATTCACATCAAAACTTGTATCAAATCTAGGAATTTTGCCTTTTTATGCTTTGCAACTACGGTTTCGTTAAAGCCCATTGAATTTTGATTAGAAAATGTAAATGTCATGTACATGCCTTTTGAAAAACAAATATTTTATTTTCAGCTTATAACTTAAATATGGTTTTTGCAGAACTTGAAAGAAATATTATTAATGTAAGAATGAATCAGACAATAAAAACAATTGGAAATGTTACTTTTAAGATATCAATTTTAGATTACGAGTTCGAATCTCATTAAAACACAGATAAAGTAGTATATTTGATCTATGTATTTATTTTTTGAATTCTTTTACACAATATAATGCTAATCTGATTAAAAGAACACATGAAAGTAGATGTCTTTTCTAATGACGACCTTAGTTTCAAAGACTAGTTTTTGCTATTAGTTCTCTCCAGAAAATCAAATCTGCATTAATTTAAAAAGTCAAAGAGAAATAATCTTAATCTCATAAAAAGTTCTATGTGTGAATAAGAAGAGGAAAAGCAATTCATATAGCAAGTAATTCAATCAGTGTCATTTCTTTTATTACCTATAGCTTGTGGGCATCCTAAATTAATGTCAATTCCATCACAGTGATCTTGAGCAAGTAAGGCAGCTTCGAGTATGGTATTTGGATCATTTCCGCAAAATTGAAATAATAACGGTCTGTCCTCAGGACAAGATTGTAGTGCTTCTTTCCGATATTTAATGTCCTTTACAAAGCAACTACTATGGAACATTGGCGTGTAGCATAACTGGGCACCATGACGACGACACAAAAGTCTCCATGCGAGTTCACTTGCATCGACCATTGGTGCTACAATATACTTTGGTGAACCGAGTACTTTCTCATAGAACTCATAGCCAGATAATTTTGGTTGGCGTAAACTTGCAGGTATCGGAAATGTCTGATTGTCATTTGAATCCGTGTCATTATTTCGATGCTCTTGGTCACCCTTTGTCATTGTTTCAAAGATATGCTGCGGCTGCAAGAATAAATTCAATTATTTTAGCATAAATTGAGATGAATAAGCACTGTCACTTCCTGATTGCTCTCTTTCACGTTTCAAAAAAAAGGTCGAATTGAAGTTTGTTGGAGAATAAATGAGATTTTGGCATAAAGCCAATTTTGATGTGAGACGAGGAAAGTTTGTTTCAAAGCGGCAACTTTTTCATCCTCATAAAAACTATTTTTTTCCTAATTCCAGATTAAATGCATAATCTCACCTCAATCTCGAACAATAGAGCAATATTATTATCATTCGATTATTTCAAGATGGGAAAAGAACAAAAACTTGAAATGTTGATGAATAAAAAACAGGTGATGATGACGATGATGATGAGAATGAAGAAAAGCAGAAAATGAAAAATTTGAAGAAATTACGGTGAGACTTATAAACTTATTAATCCTTGTTGGCTTCTTAGATTTTGTTTTTACCTTAAGGGAGACAATTTTGGCAGAATGCTTTATTGTTGGGTTTAAGACAGGGGCGTAGCCAGAAAATTTTTAAGTGGGGGCCCATTTTCGAAAATTGAAAAACCGTTATTTTGTATCCTTAAATCTATATTCATTCTTCGTAAGTTTATATATTTAATTCATTATTCATACATTAAATTTAATTTTTCGTGCTGATTTTGACATTTCTTTCATCACTTCCTCTACATTAACTGGTTCTTCTTTATAAATACTTAATAAAACAACTATCAAATTTTCGTAGGGGGAGGGGGCTATGGCCCCCCTGGCTCCGCCCCTGGTTTAAGATAAGTAGTTGAGATTTATGTTTTGTAAGTCATTGGTGGAAACATGGCCCAAAGCTTTGCATATCGGACACACCTTATTAGGTCCAAAATATTCTAACCTACCGTAGATGTTTCAAAGAACGACTTAAGAGAACTGTGGTATTAGGTTGGAATAAAAATGCTTGCAAAAACATAAAAGCCATAAGCTGTAAAATTTTCACCTCATGGATTTTTCTTCTCCTTTGTGTCAGACTTTTTATAACAACAAGAGTAGGAAGGACTTAAGCTGTAAAAAGAATGGCAGAGCATTTTCTTGTTTAAAGGAGATTTTTCAGTGTCAAAAATTCTTCGTTCGTTCGTTCATTGATGCACAATACACAATGGAAACAGAAGGAAATATGTTTTTAATTAGATTCTGGGGATCAGCACAATGAAATTCTGTGAGTGAAATAGGACAAGATAAAACAACAAAATAAATTAAATTTTAGAGTAACAAGCAGGAATTTTATGTGTTTGTAAAAATAATTCGCAAAAGCAATTAGACAGCACATCCATGACAGCATATGTTAGGAATTTTTGCAAACAATTTTTAAACACTTTAGAAACAAGAATATGGATTAAATATGAACAAACATTTGAACACATGCATTTAAGCATCCAAAAAAATTTCCTTTTGAAATCATTTCGAAGCATCCTTTTAAATGATCTAGACAGTGTATTCGTGCTGAAGATGATATTTCGCAATTTGAGAAAATATTTGAAGATCTTCATGGTAGTGGATCTATTTCGTCACTGATTCTAATTACATACATTTAAATTGTATCAGCAGAAATAAATAGCTCCTTAAATAAGAGGAGTCAGAGTTTAAATATTTAATAGACGTCATTCTTGAACAGCCCATTAATTTCCAACCTAAAACTTTTTCAAACTCAAAAGTGTTTCTCACTCTTTTCTTCTCGTTTTTCCAATTCTCAGTTTGTATAATGAAAATTTAATTAGTTTAATTTATCAGGAAACATAATGGAGAACAAAACGAAAACTTTGTCATTTCTGTTGTGCATTTGGAATTAAAAATGAATTTAATTTGAACCCTCCTCAGCCTTTTTTTTTTTTCTTATCTTGGAACATGTACAGAAATAAAACTTTTGCTCTTTCATCAGATTGGACAAGAATGAAATTAAAATGACTTGATAATCAGCTCAGAAAATGTCTATCAATTTGCTCTTTTGCAATCAAAAACTTTTAAAGAAGCTCTCCAAAGGCAACACTTTACACTTTCTATAACTTTTCGTTGCTCTATTTATTCTCTCCGAACAAGAACAAGCAGCTACTTTATGTCAACACAAACATAATATTCATAAATGGATGTTTGGCAACAAGAATTTTTCATTTAGTAGTTTCCTAGTGCTTGCTTTTGTGAGCTGCATTACGATGTGCTTACTCTGTCATATTGACAGTAAAGCTAAAGTCAAATTCGAATAAGAAAAAGTGACTTCGAGGAAAAAAATTTGATGTATGTCAATAAATTAAATCGGGGGTTATTAACTTAAAATGTCTAGGATTTGAGAAGCTTGTGGTTAAAACAGAATGATTAACAAGAGAGCAAGGTCTGAAAACCCAGTTTTTTTAAAAGACGTCACTAGTAAATTACTCTTTAGCAAATAAAACTATAGGAAAACTATTAGCAAATGAGAAGCCAACAATTAATAAGATTGGCACTAAACAATATTCTTAGTATGCAGCACTAAAGTCAAATCGTGCGAAGAATGCTGAAACTTATTTTTCTCGTAGAATTGTTCAAGTTTCCTTATTTCTGAACTTTTTATTGAGCTTCACGAAAGCTCCAAAAACTTTTCTGAAGATCGTAAATCCATGGGAAAAATTTGTTCGAAGGTTGTGTTTTTTGGTGAAAAACATATTTTTGTGTGAAATCAGCAATAATTTATATTTATGTATCAAAACTTTAAAAATGTTAACGCAGCACAAAATGTTTCGAGTTTAACTTTGTGGTGTCAAAAACATGATAAAATGCGTTGCAGAACTATTCCAATATATTTTGCTTATATCTAAGACTACATCATTCCTTTCATCTTCAAAAGAAAGTACTTTAAAAATCATTAGTTGTACAATTTATCTTTATTTTACTTCTGCACTCACATTACTTGTGATGATGATTATATTCATAACATTTTCTACAACATAATGCATGTTAACATGTTGACAGATAGAAAATGAGACAGCAATAAGCTGCAAACTTGAAATAGAAATGAGAATGAACATCAACAAAGGATCTTTTTAATAATTTAGAATTGTGAAAGATGATGTGCATGAAATTTTTCTCGAATCCTGAGAAAGCAAACCTTATGCCAATATTTTATTTTTTCAGTTGTATGCTATTATGACTCGATATGGAGCAACTGAAAAGCTATTTAGCAAGTAGAGATTGTGTTGAAATGTGTGAAAGATTTATTGAATTTATTTCTATCAAAAAATTTTCACATTTTTTAAGTTGTAAAAAGCAGCAACATGGGGAATTTTTTCGATTGGAACTTATTTTTTGGCATCAAAAATCGAGAAAAAAAAATGGTAAACATAAATGTTCTTAATCAGCATGTAGTGTGATTTTAAATTATTTATTTTTTTGTATCTGAACATAAGAAAAACAGATCTGATGTATAAGCAAGCTGTGGAAGGAGTGAAAATATAAGATTTTTTTCATATTCTTTCTTGGTTTCAACTCATAGTTGATACTAAATTGATTTAAAGCTTACAAAAAGCATGTTGAGTTTTCTTCTTCAAACTTAATAAATTATTTAACAATAAAAATAAATGATATTAGTAATTTATTTGAATAACTTCCGCATTGATTTCTAAATAAATAAAGAATTGCGTGATTAAGGTTATTAAACTTGAGTAGTAATATGCAAAGCTCTTTGTCAAAACTTGGTCGATTATTTAATTAAGCAAATGTTACAGTTCGGTTCCCAGTAAATCAATATAAATTTTGCAACATAATGTCAACCGATTCCTCAAACAGTCACAAACGATATCCAATAAACTGCTAAGAGCAATCAACTTTTAAATTAAATTCCAACAAATATAAAATTTCCAAAAATTGAAATTTAATTTCGTTTCAAAGAGAAAAACAGGAGTCAATGTACATAAAATAACTTCCACAAGAAAAACATTGAAGCCAATAAAATAGGCTTGCAGCAAGCAAAAATAAATAAATGGAAATGTGCCGGAATTGAGAGTAAAATAGGGTTGAGAAGGATGAGAAAAAGGCACGGGCAATATAACAATATATTTTCATACGTGTGCCACATTTGCATGAATTTCCATTTTATTTCATCACTTATAAGTCATCCGTGATCCATTTCATTTATTCGTATACGTATGCATATACGCCCATTGATTCATTTGAATCTATTTATCAAATTTATGGCCAGTCATACCTTTCTGTCACATGCTACATATATTTTCTTTTCAACTTATTTTTTTTTATTAATAAACATTTTTCATTATATTTTCACTTGATAATATTTCCTGTCCATTTTCATCATCCCTTAAATGGCTTTTTCGTGTCCAGCAAATGGAAAAAGTTAAATTAAAAAGCTTCGCATATTGTAAATGTTTTTTCAAAGGTGTGCACTCGTCAAATAAACAGCAGAGGCGACAACCAAAAATAATCCATCAAATATTGATGACTCTCCATGGAGCCATCATCGTTTTGCGTGCTCAATCATTCGTAAAATCAAAAGGCTATAAAGGGAATGTAAAGGACGCACATAGTGAATGTAATGAAGTGTGAAACAAAAACGAAATTTTGTTACGGTAGTATCATATAAATGGATTGACGTACTTTGTAATTAGTGAACTGTTTATTTATTTATTTATTCTATTTCATAATAAATTCTCTATAGCACTATCCATTTGTTATTATCAATATATTCTCATCAAATTTACTTTTGCGTTCTACAGTTTTTTACATCAATACTTGTAAAGTCACCTGATTAAATAATTCAGTACTAAAATTGTTCTTTAAGAGCTTTTTTGGCAGGATCAATTTGGCTAGTTTTATCAAAGTATTTGACAGCAAATACTTTAAAGTTAGGTCGTAAATAAATGCGGCATTATTTAATGGGTTTAATTGATATAAATTGCATTTTCCAATGGCGATACAATGCTGTATAATTAATTTATTTTGACATTGTTGCCTAAAACTTGCCTAAAACTTTATATTCCCCATCAAATACCTTTCACAATTCAATAAATTTGTCCCAACTTTAAATTCCACAATCAATTTAAATTTTCCACCACTTAAAATCCCAATTTATCAATAATTTGACATATGTCGATGCGTTTCAAGTAGCATATCTACATTGTGTCGCATAAGATGTCAAATTACATTTTTCACAATACGAAATTGTGTCAAAAACCACATCCAATATGATTTACTATAAAAAAGCAACCAAGTTTGAGGTAAAGCGGATAAACATGCTGTGTGCCTGCTTAAATGGTT